AACCCTAAACGCTATAAGCCCTAAGCTAGACCCTAAACCAAACCCCCGGCGGTTTAGGTCAGGATCGCAAGATGAGTTTTACATAGGGATCTGGAATCTCGAGCGGTTTACGATTCCCCAGGGTCCATGTACCTGTAGAGTCTATTTTATGTAGGTTTCAAAGGGTTCCCATATTGTAGGCTTCCGGGTCCGAAGTTTATCCTGCGTGTATGTCGCCCGGATCCTACTTACGGCTTTGGAGATTGATGAGTAGCAGTTACCCTTGCTCACAATTAGTTTTGGTAGAGTATCTTGTGCCTTGAAATCCTACTCATCTTGTTAACCATCTTCTGACAGTCGTATCGTTCCAGGTTCTCGGTTTCAGCATGGGGTGGTTCGGTTCGGGAGAAAGAAGGAACAGTGTTGACCCTACCTCGCCCTAAACCCTAGACCCCTAAATCCTAATCCCTAAACCCTAAACCCTATTCCCGACTGGGATCTCGGACTCTGCGAGTTGGAAGCGAGGCGCTTAAAGCAAAAACTCGCTTTAGGGTTTGGGGTTTAGGGTTTAGGGAAGGAGGTCTCAGAACACCTTTTGTTCTTCTGGGTTGCTGAACCACTGGAGACAGACCTTGAACTTCACCCGAAACCCTGAAACCTAATGTAGGTTCTCTGCCATGCGAGAGGGAAAAAATGTAGGGACCTAAAGAATTACCAATACTATTCGGGTTCCATATTCCAAAACGCGTTTAATATACCTCAAAACCTTACTCTGACTTGGAAGGCCCCGATATTATACTCTTGGGCCCGGTGTCTTGTGGCCCGGCATGCAGACGCAGTCAGCCAGGTAGATACCCCCAGGAGGCCCTGAGCCGCTTTAGGCCGAAGCCCTAATGTAGCGACCTTAATACTTACAATCGGATTTTTGGGGGTTCCTCATTAAATTATAGTTATAGTATAATATAACCCAAAGCTCTCTTCTAAGTATTACGGCCCCTTCTTACAGCCACAAAAGCTTTCGAACAACCGAAGCTCCTGAAGTTGTATCAGGGCTCTTCAGCTTCAGGAGCCCCCTAAACCCTAAACCCTAAACCTCGCCAGGCTTGTACCAGTTGTGAGTGCTGAAACCCGAAACCCTACGCTTTGTTGAAAGGGCTGGGGCAGAGGAAGCCTCTCTGGACGAAGATTGGTAGCCCGAGAACCCAACACCCCTTTATTCAGGAATAGACTTTAAATCATAATGTATGGGCTCTTATAATAAGGGTTTAGGGGTTAGGGTTTAGGATTTATAGAATTTATATAAGGCATATTCCTTAATTAAGGGGTATCGGGTTCTCTGGGTATGTCGGAAGGGACATTGGGGTTGCTTATGGATTAAGCAGCACCTCAAGGGGCTTAGCAAGCACGGTTCCTAAACCCCAAACCCTACACCCCTACAACTGTAAACCTTAGAATGTTTACAAGAACTTTCTTATAGGCCCCCCAAACCCTTAAACCCACGTAGGGACCCTTACATGATCAATAAGGCCCAAACCCTAAACCAGAAACGCTTAAACCCACATACGGACCCTTACATGATCAATCAACCCTTAGCCCCTGAAAAACCAGAAACCCAGAGCCCAGGCCAGCCCTTCGAAAGCACCGCCGATGAGGCACCTTGAGGACCAAAATCTACCCTGAGACTATGAAGCCTACGCCCTAAACCCTTTTAGGGTTCATGTGGTCTTCAAGTTTTCAGGGCTTAGGATTATGAAGCCTACACCCTAAACCCTAAACCCTAAAATCCTTGCATAAACTAGAGTCAAAAAAGCCCTTTTAGGGTTCATAAACCCTAAACCCTAAACCCTAAACCGTCTTCCAGGCCGACAGCCCAACCTCCGCCGGATCTCGGACTGGAGGAGCTGAGTTCTGAGCACGCGCCTGGACGTAGGGCCCAGCCCTTCCAATATGAGGGTTTCCGAAAATTAGGGTTTCTTATTTTGGGGCCCTTATAATAAGGATCCTACTATTTAGGGTACTATATTAGGGCCCCCTATTCTCGGCAACCCCCATATCCTTTGATTCAGGGATCTACTGTAAATTTGTAGCTAAGGGATAGACTTTAAATTATAGTAGGATCCCTAGTATGATTTATGGTCGGTTCTGTTAGGTCGTCTTCGGGCACGAGGTTTTTTTTTGGGACATCTCGACGCTATGTAAGTCCTACCCACATGGGGACTACTTTAAATTTAAGGCCAGAGTATCTACTATTTGGGTACACGGACCCTTAGGGTAAGGCCCGAAGAAGGCATGGTTTCTCTCTTTGGGTTTATGGCCTAGGGTTTGGGGGCTTTTGGTCATCCAGGTCCTAGAAGCCACTTTCAAGCATATTAAGTTACTGGGTTTACCTCTGGGATTCGGGAGCGTAGCCCACGGGATAGGTGAAGGCTTCTGAGCAAATATGGGATTTGGTGTTTTTAGGGCGTGTAGGGTTTAGACTTTAGGGGTTTGTGCATGGAGGTCTCTCCAATCAGGCATCGATTGTTGGAAGAGGATCTGTTGAGGGATCCACTTGTTCTTATCATTCTTCATGTGTGTGTGTGGGTGGGTGTGTCCGAAGTTGTGTTGATCTTGGGTGCCGAATGCGGTTCTGCACCTGAACACGACAGACTTGCACCGCAAGCCTTCTATTTCCCTGGCTCCTACACCTTTGGCACCTTAGCAGCTAAGCCCTAAGCCCATTCCGGGGCAACATTCTCGTTTAAAAATAACGGCCAAGCCCCGGAACTGGGGCGTCCGCCTAGACCCCCGCAAGTAGCCTTACACACTACATGAGGGGCCGTAGGCAACTACAACCGCATGTTTACAAGAACCTTCATTGGGACTATACACAGATAGATCTTGAGTTTCTTTACCCTAAACCCCAAAGGGTCCAAAGGACCCAATAATCAGGTACTTAGGTTTCGGATAGTAGTTATGTAGGTTACTACTTGGGAGAGTATATGATTATTAGGTGGACCCTCAGGGAAACCCGTACAAACCCTAAACCGTTGACCCGAACAGAATTTGTTTGCCTGACTTGCGCTGAGGCGGAGCTGAAGCGATGGCTGTCAGGCCTCGACGGCCACAAAGGCGCCCTGCTGAGACTTTGCTCCATGTTAGCACGTCTCCTGTCTGTGGTTTGGGCTTAGGGTTTAGGGTCCCCTAACCCTCCCTAAGCCGTAAACCCCAAACCCTAAGTTATCCTAAGCCCTGAACCCTAAACCCTAAGCCCTAAACCCTAAGCCCTAAACCCTAAACCCCAAACCCCAAACCCTAAGCCCAAACCAAGGGAGCCCTGGCAGAGCTGGTTTAGGTTTAGGAGCCCAGGACCTACTTCGATGTCTTGGTCAACGAGTTCGACGGGGATCTCTCGATCCTCAAGAACGTCAAGACCGAACCACCGGAAGGGAGGCCGCTGACTTGAAGGTGTTGAGTTCAATACGGTTTGGGGTTTAGGGTTTAGGGGCTTAGGGTTTAGGGATTTAGGGTTTAGGGGTTTAGGGTTTGGGGATTAGGGTTTGGGGCGAAGTGGAAAGCCTGTTGCAAAAGGGTTTAGGGTTTAGGATCCTGAGGTTCGGTTTGAGGTTTGAGACTTTATAGGTTTGAGGGTTTAGGGGTCAAGGCCAGGGTTAGGATTCAAGGCTTGAGGCTTCCGGGTCGATGGTTTAAGGCTAGGGTTCAGGGGTTTAGGGTGTGGGATTTAAGGGTTTAGGGTAGAAGGTTTGGGGCTTAAGCCTAAGATAGAATGCGCAGTGTATGCTCCAAGGTTCGAAATTTGCTGCTGAGGTTGGGGTTTAGGCTTTACTGGAACGTATGTAGCCTGCCTTTTTTGGAATCCCTTACTAAGGTGGCCTTACATGAGGCTAGCATGTAGCTTATTTGGGGTTAAGGTAGTGTTGAAACCCCCAGCCCCTAAGCCTCCTTAAGCCCCGAATCGGTGGTTTAGGGTGCAAAGGGCACTCCTTGCCGATTTGTTGGGGGAGGGGCATGGGGGGGGGGGGTGTCTGGTGGGGTTCTGGAGCCAGGCCTGCCTGTTGGGCCGCAGGGTTTAAGGATGTTTAGGGCGCAGGATTTAGGAGTTCGGGTTCTGGGAAATCGGTGTAAGACGAGATCTGCCACTCCTCCGTGTATGCTCTGTCATAAAACCCTAAACCCTAGTTCGCGCCATGCCAAGTTTCAGGTATGCTTCAAAGGCCGAAGATTCAAGTCCTCAGCCGTCCGTGAAACCACCAACATGACACAAAATGTAAGTCGGGACTCTTTTCCTGAAAGGCATACAGGGAGCCCGGATTTGGGTGCTACAGGTACCCCTTCAATAGCGGCCTTAATTCTTACGTATTTTTACTATTTTTTGGGGGGTTCCCTATTATATATATATATATATAATACAACATACCCCAAAACTCTTGTCTAATTATCAAGGACCCGTAGAAATAGATGAGTGAAGTCGGTAAGCCCTAAGCCGCCCTAAGCCTCAGCTTGCTTCAGTCAAAATCGTGGCCTCTTCTCGTTCATTATTGACGATTTCTGGACGACCATCAACGTCAGAACGATGGGCCACAAGGCGGGGGACCTCGCAACTCGAGGTGTAAGGTTTCAAGGTTTTTGGGTTTAGGGGCGTCCAGGGTCTACAGTTCAAGAAGAGACGCACGTCGCGAGGAACCTCGTGAGATACTGTAGCCGTAGACCCTGCTCCCGTGATTTTTTTCGAGGATGCCCAGGTCTTTTAATGTCCCTTCGCCTAGCCAGGCGGGAGGGAAAAGAATGTCCCTTCACTGAGGAACATCTACAGGTTTTTCAATATCCCTTCACTAAGGGATATACTTTAAATCATATGAGGGATCCTGCTAATAACGCAAGGAACCTTCCTTAATCATAGGATCTTGGAAGGTCCGGGTGGTTCGCTCGTAAATCGTAGATATCATCAACGTCCCTTTTCCAAAGCCCTGACGGGTAGTTAGCGGTGCTTCCCGGAGGCTCCAGTTACTTAAATCGTAGGTTGCTGATCATATATTATATTACCCTATGCTTCCAAGGACCTTACAGTGAGGGCCCTAGGCCCCTTTCAGGACCCAATAATCAAGCCCGTGGAAGCATAGAGCTACCCAACAACCCAATACTTAGGTACTTCCCCCTGAACGCTACACCTCAAATAGCCGAGAAGCCTTACATTATCGGGTCGTTGGGCCCAAAAAGCTTTAACATATGAGTCCTTTGAGGGTAAGGGTAAACCCTTAGCCTCTGAGAGGGCGGGACTCCTTTCCGAGGGTTATCGTTCCGGGGGGGCCTTCGGGCTCGTCCTTCGGCAGTCATGCGAGTGTCTGGGGCTTAGGGCCTATAGGGTTGAGGGTTTAGGGTGTATAGAGCTTTTGGGGTTTATAGGGTTTGGGGTTTGTAGTAACCGAGAGGAAAGTCTCCGACACCGAAACCGAATCAAATCCCACACGCACACACGCAAAGCTTATTAAGTATGCATAACGTAGACCCCCGTCAATAGCCGTCAATTAACCAGAAGTTGCCGGTGTCTAGTGAGAATATCCGCAGGGTCGATAGGTAGTTCGTCACACAGAATCTTGGGACAGAGGCGTTTGGGCCCCTTTGTAGCGTTTCCGATCCACGGCTATTCGCATCCGGATTGTAAGACTACTCTCCCGAAAGCCTACACTGACACCTCACCATAAGTGAGTCTACGACACTGATGTTCAAATATGAAGAAGCACAATCGTATCTAATAGTATGGAACCTGTCTGCGGCTGGAATCCTCAGCCTTGCAATATCTTGAACTGAATGCGTGGATAGGATTTGTTTGGTCAAGGCCTTAGGCTGCCGGAAGCCCCCGGGCCACCAAAACCCTTGAACCCTAAAGCCAAACCCTCCAACAAGACGACATAGAAACCAAGTTCAAATACAACTCGAAGCCACGCCCCTGCCCTGCCTGCAGACTCTTCTTGCGAAAGGGATCAAAGAGCTGACATGAGAAGAGAGGTCACGTCGTCTGTGGAGCGGTTTCCGGGCCTGCAGAGCGAGTGGGTTTCGAGTTCCTTTCGGCGTTTGCAGGTTTGGGGTGTTTTGTTGTGGGGTGGTGCAGGCTGCAAATACTGTCGAAGAAGTAAAGCCCTATAGCCCTAAACCCAGTTCGGAGTGTTGTCATGCTGGCAGTGGCGTGAGTCTTCTACAAGGTGCCTCGCGGGCTCTCTATTCGTGTGCCGAATTTTATCGAGCGCCTGGGCTGTTGTTAAGGACTTTACTTTAAGTGACCATAACATAGGGATCTATTACTGTTGGATTCCTGCTACCATAGTAGGGATCTATAGTACATGACAGGGTTTCTTTATTATGGTAACTTCAAGCCCTAAACCCTAAACCCTAAATTACATTCCTGATCAAGAACCCAGGAGCTGCTGCCATCTTGGCCATGCCACTGAGGCTTTAAAGCGTACTAGCGTCTAGCTTGCGAATAGGTGCTGCGGGCACGGTATCATATCATGTGTATATATATATATATATATATATGGTTTAGGGTGTAGGGATACATATATATATATATATATATGCACATATATATATATATATACACACACAGCTGTATACGTATGTATCTGCACCGCCTTTAGCACCTAGCTTGCTAATACGTGCTGCGGCACTTTATCAGACCATCTGGCCTGCCTACATCTCAGAGTGGTAACATTACCTCGTGCTTGCCGTGCCGTCTTTCGATTGCGCACACATCGTGCAGTTTCACCCGCATAGCAGCAATGCGATGTGGACCAAACAAATCACTCGTGCAAGCCTTGTTTCACTTTGTCGCCTGCTGCATGCTAGCCACCCCAGGCGCTTAAATCCTAAACCCTAACCCCAAACCCTCAAACCCCTAAACCCTAAGCCCCTAAACCCTTAAACCCTAAGCCCCAAGCCCGTGCGAGTGTGTGAGTCGAAACCCCAACCCCCGCCCAACAAAGCCCAGCCGCTTTGGTCCAAGAAAGGGGCCCCCTGTCGCCATGGCTAGAGCTGCAAAGCCGGGGAAGAGCAAAGGCCTTTAAGGGTTTTTTGTTTTCAGGGCTTTAGGTATTTAGGGTTTAGGGGAGCAAAGGCCTTCATTCTTGTTTTGAAAGGGGGGGGTTAGGGTTTATAGGATTTAGGGGCTTTAGGGCTTAGGGTTCAATTAGGGTTTAGGGTTTTACGATTTAGGGGCTTTGGGGCTTAGGGTTTAATAGGGTTTAGGGTTTGCCGGCTGATTGGATGGAGCTCCGGGGCCCGGGTCCAAACAAAAAGGGTTTAGGGGGTTGAGGGTTGAGGGCGGAGGGGGGCCGGGGAATTTTGTTCATTGGCGTTGTTGTTATGATAATCAGTAGTATGACTTCGACTGTAAGTTACTAGTCTTGCGTGTCACCGTGGTACTCGTGTCTTCATGATGTTGTTTCTTTTTGCGAAACTCGTTCTCTTCATTATTCGTTTAACCCTAAACCCGAAACCCTGAAGCCTATTCCCCAAGCCCGAAGCCTCGGACCGAGCCCTTACTCAGCGAGCATTGGCGGCTCAGCTCCCTCTGGACCCAAGCATAGAAGCCCTGTACCAAACACTCAAGGCGAAGAAGGGCCTTAGGGCTGCGATAGGATTCAAGGCTCCATCGACGGAATGTAGGAGCCAGCTTTGTTTGCTTGGGCTTCCTTCCAATAGAAGGTCAAAACCCTATTCTAGTGGTGAAGCCCGCCTACTCGAAGATATCCATAACCAGTGTTTTTTCGCAGGGACCCTGGCCGTGTTCCACACCGATCAAAGACTTCTGGTTTTATTCTGCGGGTTGCTGTCGGGTGCCTTGGGGTCGTTCAGACTTGCGTCGGATGGCAAGTCAACCCAAACATCCAAAGCTGGAGGGTTTAGGTTTATCGTGTCTAGGGTTCAGGGTTTAGGGGGTTGGTACGCAAAAGAAACTACCTCACACCTCCAGCACCCTAAACACGAAACGAGGTGGGATGCGCGCTTTGTCGCTTGAAGGTTCATGGTGGTTTGTCTATCTGCACCTTCGCACTTTCAAGTAACGGCATTTGCAAAGTAAAACCGTCCCATGATACTCTCTGTAACATATCCTACAAAAGCACATCCCCCAAACCTTCTCACCATCTAGGCTCCTGTAGGTCCCAAGTGCCTGACAATCAACAACTCTCCCAGATAGTGACCTACAAAACTACTATCCCAAACCCAAGTACCTATCTATAATGTCCTTAAACCCTAAACCCTAAACCCTAAACCCTAAACCCTAAACCCAAGTACCTATCTATAATGTCCTTCGGACCCTAAGGGTATTTAGTATGCGATGGGGACTCCCTAAACCCTGAACTCCTAAACCGCTCAGCAGTGCAGGAGGCAAAAAACTTTCTAAAACCTAAAACCCCCAAAATCCTAAAACCCTAAACCCTAAAACCCCGCACAATCCTAATGCCCTGTATATAAACCACAAGCCCTAAACCCAGAAGGACTGAAGGGCAGAAGGAGAGTGCCGGGCAAGAGCAGCAAGGCGAGAGTAGACAGTGTGAAGCTTCCGGGGTTTCGGGCCCAGTGCCTTCAGAATTTGGGGCTTTTAGGGTGTAGGGTTTAGGGCTAATTTAGGGTTTAGGGTTGTCTTGGGGGCTGAAAAAAGCTATGGGGTATGCCCAGTTTGTTTTTTCGGGGAGTGGTGGAGAGAGGGGGTCGCATACTCTCTGGGTGCTTGCTTGTGCCGTATTGTGTTCGAACCTCGGAGCAAACCCTAAACCCGAAGCTCTAAACCCTAAACCGCCTCAGTTGCTTTTCTGCCGGAGTGTCTTCGAACTTCGTTCGGAGCATCTGCCGAGGCTAATTTACGACAACCTACTCTAGTCTTTATAGGCCTTAGCTGGACCCTAAAAAGAACCTACTTTTTTTAGGGTTTCTTATTCTGATTTTTGATCTAATAGATCCTTAAAAAGGTAGGTTATTTTACGGTTAAGGTCGCAATTCATATCGACTCCCTCCCCCAGAGATCTGCCAACAAAAACGGCGCCTTGGGGTCGTATCCAAATACGACACGTTGAGAAGGGCAACTTCACAAGGTTGATCCTGAACCCCAATGACATCCCAGCCCTAAAGACGAAGCCCTTGAGGGTTTATAGGGTTCAGGGTTTAGGCTTCAGGTTTGGGGTTTAAGTTTCGGGTTCACGGTTTAGGGTTTAGGGTTTAGGGTTCAGGGTTTAGGGTTTAGGGTTTAGGGTTCACGGTTTAGGGTTCAGGGTTTAGGGTTTAGGCTTCATCCCCTTGGCGCTCACCTCTGGGAGGCTGTGGTCAAGAAGCAGCAGAAAGTCCGAAAGCGCACTGCGAAGCAGAAGGCCAGGGATCTTGCAAAGAATATCGGTTCAGGTATCAGGGATACTGTAGGGGCCTCAATAATTGCCAATGCTGTTTTGCGAGTTCCTTAGTGTAATTATAGTAGAATGTGCCCCAAAGTCCTATTCGAATTATGGGCGCCTAGATTATGTCTTTTTTTGCGAAAGCTCTTAAGGCCTAGGTTCGGGATATCTGCAACTTGTTCAAGTTTTTCAGGGGCCCCCGCGCCCCCGCGCGCCCCTTTGTATCAATTCCCTGAAACCAGTAATATAGGGGCCTTAATAATTAGAATAGGGCTGTGGGGCTCGCTATATTATATTTACGATAAGGAACCTCCCAAAATATCATTGGTAATTCTTTGGGCCCCCTATAGTATTGCAAGGTGCTTCCCTGTCTTGTTTCCCAGTACTTGAGATCTGGCAGGATATCAGGTTACGCTTGCCCACTTCACTAAGCTTTCCAAACTCTTCAACCGTACCGTGCGCCTTTGCTTCCTCATTGCGCCGCCCAGACCTTCCAGCATCCCTTCATTGAGGAATACACTTTAAGTTATAGTAGGATCCCTAGTATGATTTGAAATATACCTATACTCTCCATTGTAGTTCCTTTTGAAAATGCCTTATAAACTCCTTAATATATAATTGGTTAAACCACAGAAAGGAACTACAATGGAGACTACAGGTATTCTTTAATTAGGGGTATTGGAAGGTCTGGGCTCAAAGCCCAGAAGCCCAAGCCTAAACCCTAAAGCCCAACCCTGACGGCTCCCTAAAATAGGCCCTGTAAGCCAGCAGTTTCCGGTCTCCGGGCTTCAGAACTTGGCCCGTGGTGCCCAGACCTTCCAAGATCACTTAATTAGGGACCAAATACCCCTAAACCCCTAAACCCAAAACCCTAAACTTATAACCTACCACAATTTAACGTGGACTCCTTAATCAAGGTCTCTTGGAAGGTCTGGGTGCTTTCCGGCCTTCTCACAGGTTTGCTCTTGGGAGTTCGGAACTAGTGTTTTTGAGGGGAGGCTTGGGAGTTGACGTTTTCTCTTGGCTTTTGTTGACCGAGAGCCAGCCGAGAACAGGCTCTTTCTAGGGCTTCAGGTATCATCTTGGTTTACCGGGTTACATGATGTAGGAGTGATAACCTAGTGTATGGAACTGAAGACTCTGGGCATCCTTAAACCCTGAATACCTTACACGCTTCACCTTCAGCCCTAAACCCTAAACCCCTATGTAAACCCTAAATGCCCTAAACCTCAAAGGGTAGAATGCCGGTCAGGCGCGAAAGAGTTCCGCGGTGGATGACTTAGCAGCCGCCCGAAGGAACAAAGTTAAAGTTAGGGTTTAGTGCATTAGGGTATTTAGGTTTTAGGGCTTGCGGTTTAGGATTTAGCTTATAGATGTTTAGGGTTCACGGTTCAGGGTTTGAGTTTCGGGGGACTTCGGGCTCAGACGCTTCTGACGGAATCACCGCTGCGCTCCACAACCTCAAATAGCAACAGATACCTCCTCAGTACTGTAGCTGCGTAGGTAACCTTCACCCGTTCGGGGCTTCATAATCCTGCCAGACCTAACCAGGCTTAGTCGTCTGGTGTCTGGTTCTCTCAAGTGAGATCTTAAGCAAGCTGTGCCTCCACATCAT